TACATATACATACATATTGTATCTGTTACTCCTTCTTTAAAGTGAATTTAACATGAATCTTTATAAGTGAGCCACTCTCATGCTGCACTGCAGAGGATATAGAATTGGAATTTTAGGTAACAGGGATTGCTGGAGGAGAATAAGAGGAAGAGCCTGTGGAATTCAGGAGGATTATTTTGGGGAGAGAAACTTCCAGTTGCCAGGATGATGGCACTGATAAATTACTCAGAGGAACATTACTGAAATTTGATCAACTTTTGCCTGACCGTACCTCCCAGTCTGAACTAGAAATAAACTCTCTATTGTGTTTTATTGGGAGGGAGAGTAGAAATGACAGACGGAGAAGGAAATGGGAGTTATCCAACAGGGACTCCTCTAGACCCGCATTAGCCTTTCCAATACAGCAGCCAGGGCCCAAACCTTCGATGTGCCAGCGAAGGGCGTGGACAAAACTATCCACAGCTGTGCATAAATGCTTGGAGATATGCTGGGTGTGGTCACCCATATTCATGGTATTAAGGACTTCCTGTAAGTTTACGAAAAAGGAAGTGCCGAAGACTATGTGCATGGGTGTGCGCCTACTGGCTTGTAAGCTTCTCACTGAGTTCCAGTGCATATTTCTGGGTGACAGAGGGAGGAGGGTGAATGGTGGAGAGGACGTGAAGGAGGCACGATAAAGGTGGCAAATCAGCTTGCCTTGGAGCCTGTCTGGGAAGCTTCCATGGTGCCGGATATCACTCTCCATTTCTTCGGGTCTGGGACTGTCTTTAATTACCTGTTTGGTTTTACTCCCGTATTTCTGGGCTACTACATCTGTTTGTAATTTTCTCTCAATTACTAAAACAATATATATTCAACGAAGCAAATTTGAAAAATGTAAAAGACATGGAAAATTAAACAAAACTGGCTCATAATTCTGTCAGCCAGTAATAACCACCATTAATATTTTCTTGTGTATCGTTTCAAATATTTAGTTTTACAAAACTGGGATGCTGGTATACACATTGCTTCCTAGCCTGTGTCCTGCCACCCCATGACTTTTATCTCTGTTTTTATGTGCCAACCCCCTGTATATTCTTCATGGCTTGGCATCTCACTTGGGCCTCTCTCCATCTTGCTGCTGTCTCCCATCCTTTCGCTGTACCCGTGTTTTCTCAATGGCTTCCCTTACATCTTTTTTCTGTGTACGATCTTTCCACTGAATTGCTCCTTTGCTTGTACATTCAAAAAATATTTTTTCATAATCACCTGTCAAAACATCAATTCTCAAAAGCTCTAAAGATCTTTCTATCCCATGTTAAACACTGCTGGAGAAAAACATAATGATTATATCAACTGTTCAAAATTCTATTTCTCAAACATGATCTGCTGTTGGAAATGAAGTGTGCTCCTATCTCTGGGTCTTTTAGTTTCCTCTCTGCCCCCAAATCCCCTTCTTGAGCTATTTTTGGTGTCTTCAAGAGATTCAGCACAAACATCTATCATGAATATGGATTCACTGAAGTTACTCAATCAAATCATTCCTGCCTCTTTAACCTGTGTGCTCCCCTCCACCCCAGTTCTGGGAATTGAACTCAGGACCTTGTGCTTGCCAGACAGGCACTGGAGCCACTGAGCTACATCCCCTGCCCTAACCTGTGTGCTTCCTGAAGTGAAAACCATACCTACTGGGGCCATACCACACAGCAAGGGCTCAACATACGTAAATAAAAAAATAAATAAATGAGAAAATCTACATTCATTTTTCCTTTTCCAGTTGACAAAGGGGTTTTACCTACAGTGTCATATTTAGTCTTTAAAAACAGTCCCTATGACATTGGTTCAGTGCCATTATTTTGTCCCTCTGAAATATAGAGATTTTGAGCAGGACTTGCACGGGTTCTCAGTGCTTAGAATGGCGAACATCCAGGAGACTGGTGTTACTTTTGCTCTGCTGTCTTTCTCAGACTTCCCCTCCAAAGTAGCCTCGAAGTAGCCAGCAAAAATGCCCTACTTGAGACAGTGTGGGATACTGCTAAATGCAATTCTTTCAACTTAAAATTGTCTTCACCTTTGTACAAGTTTAGTGAATATGAGTTGTGACTACTTATAACACATGAGCTAATGTACTTAAAATTGCCTGACTCTACCTTCCCTCAAGTAAAATTGTTCTCCAAAAGATGCCCCACCCCATACTTATCATCTGGTTTCTAGAACCTGTGATCATAAATGTCTCCAGAGGTCTGTATAAATCAAATGTGAGAAATAACATGCTGTACCACACAGCTTTTCCCAGTTGTGGGTGGAGGGCAGGCCCTAAAACCCTTATCTGTGTATCAGTGAGTGAAATGAGAAGCACCTACTCGATTAAGCATGGTCTATTTCCAGTGCAAATTTTCTGATCAATATCCTAGTTCCAAAGGTTATCAGAGATGATTTGAGCAGGATGTAAAGATGTCTTGCAACTTAGATGGAAAGAAAGTCCTCCCTCGGTCCCCTAGATATATAATTATCCTCCATCCTTCCCTCATCCGCACAACTAATGGACCTCTTGTGGATGACTATTAAACTTATTGGAAATATTTAGAAAATATAATGTGCCCCAGAGAGAAAAATGTTAAATACTTATACATCTGGAATGAGAAAAAGTCAGTAGGGAAGACAAAGTTTTGTGTTACTTAGCTCCTAGATACACCTGCTGAAACATGCAGAGTCCCGAGTTGTAATAAAAGGATAAAAACTGCAATGGGAGGGCATTCAATGCATATTTAGATTGTATTACTGGAGGATTTTTGTTTTACACAGCAGAATGAGACAGGAAATCTATTTTTTATGGGCCATTATTTATAGGGGACAGAATTTTCAAGAATCTGGCTTTCTGCTTTATAAAATTATCTCCAAATGCAATAATCACATGTCACTGCTCCATTTTCTGTTGCTACTCATAATAGCCTTTTTGATAAATATGTTCTTCTATCAGTAAAAGTATCTAACAACCTACTTAGATTTATTTGTTGAAAAAAATCACTATAAAATGTCAATCATTCTGTGCTCCTGTCAGAGTATAAAAGCAAGCATGTGGCAATAAAGTGAGACAACATACTTGAATTCCAGTTCAAATCATCATCTTAGTTGGCTTTGGTTTTCTTATATTTTGGAATCTTAAAAATGCTGTCTCTCTTGGATGGGGATATTGCACAAACTGAAAATTTGCCAAGGTCTAGAAAAATCCCAAGATCACAGACTACGATAAAAATTCAAATCCACAAGGCACATATTGGGAATGCAATAAATCACAATTTTTAATCTCTTTTAATCTTATGACGCATATATGCAGAGATCAGGGACTTAAAGAAAGGATTTCTTATCAGAATTGCCTTCACGAATAAAACCATGTTCTAAGAGTTCTTCCCTTAGAGGCTTTAAATTTCAAAATACTGATGTTATAGCAAAATAAATACACAGACTCCAGAAAGTAAAAAGAATCTGGTCCCTTCTTCCAGTATCAGCTTCCTTTTACCACCCTCCTCTGGTGGCTGCAGGCCAACTCCTGTGGCAAGACATTTAAAAACAACTGTATGGGTCTGTATTGATGGGCAACATGCAACTTGGCTCCATGAAGTCTGCAGAGATTCAGGAGCTAGCACTGTTACCTGCCTGACTTCAATGTATCTTTGTTTGCTTACTACAGGAAAAACAATTTAATAACAGGCAGTTTACAGTCTTGATTATAATTGGCTGGCATGGTTCAGTTCTCCAGTACTGGAAAAACTCTGCCAACAGATTTGGTGGTTTTATTTATTTTTTTATAAATTCAGCTTAACGGCCCATTTGTGATTGAATACAGGATTTCAGCCTACATTACTGACTTCTGGTATAGTAGGAGCCTTAGATTTTACCCAGAATTTCCATCTCTAAGATAGTAACGTGTCTGGAGGTGAAAGGTAATACACTAGCTATTTTGTCTGCATAACAATTCAGGGGCAGATTTTTAATTGAACCTATCAATTTACCATCAATTGGGACTGAACATAGACAAAACCACTAAGTGTGAAGATTCTATTAGAAAAATTACTGGTTTGTGTTAATTTGTCAGATCCACGACAGAAAATAATACTTCACTGTAAACCCAAGTATTGAAATTATGTGGAATAAGTTTTATGAATGATATATTCATCATGATCAGTGAAAATACAAATTTAAAATTTGTCTTTGGATATTGGGCTTTTCTATTATTTTCATTTGTTATTATTTTTATTATTAATTATATATTATTTCATTTATTATATGTGGCTATTAGATTTTGGGTATGATTGTCAATTTTTGTTATGGTGATAACAGAGGAAAAGGAGTTCGTTTTTATGTGAGGGACTTTGAAAGAAGTCAGGACCATTTTAAGACATTCATTTATTTTTTATCATGTTCAACATAGACAATTCCTTATTCTGACTTGAAAAGCAAATGATCTAATTTGTTCTAGGATTTGGGAACATTTATTGCAGAATAATAAAAATGATATAACAGAAGTAAGACATAAAACATAGACCAATTCAAATATCTCCATTTTCGGTCTCTAAGTGTTTCATTTCCCAGATTCTGTTCTGCCTTTTCTTTCTATGCCTCTTTAAATCACCTTGAGCTACTTGGCCTTTTGCCATCTTCTTTTTCTTTCACACCAGCAGTATGTGTATTTTAATGCCAGCCTCAAGTGCTGCTTACATTTTTCTGTCTTGTAAATTCCTTTTCCTGTTAATAGAAAAGAAAAGAAGATTTGGGGATCTCGTCTCCCTTTCTCCCTCTTTCCTTCCCTACCCTCTGGAAAACAAACACTCAGCTACTCAAGATCAACATGCATTTCTAACCCAAATGCCATTCTAATTTTTCTACTCTTGAAGAAAATGACATAATAGTCTTGTTTCATTTGGAACCTAAAGAGGAAAGCTTTCAACATCTCATCATAAAAAATAATAAATATAAATATAATTAGATTACTGAAATTCCCACTTACTCCTACTCTAGGAAGAGCAGTATTGTATAGAATTGAATTTTATCAAATCCTGTTTTTGTATCTATCAACATGTTCATATAACTGTTTTCCTTCATTACATTAGTAGGGAGAATTACTTTGTTCTGAGTATAGGTTACTTTTGGAATAAACATCTCTAGCAATGACCTCCTTCTTTTTATTCCTGATATTAGTTATTTTGCCTTTAAAAATTGTTCACATGGGTTTATCACTTTCATACATCATTTTAAAAAAAATTTGGATCTGTTAACTTACACTATAATGCATTTACTTTCATTTTGTTTTTTAAAAATTTTCTTTATTTCTTTGGTTTTAATTTTTTTCAAATGTCTTAAAATGGATTCCTAGATTAAAATCTATTGTTAATGTTCAACTTCTCTTTTCTGATATACTCATTAATACTACAAATTTTCCTCAGTGTACAGCTTTAGCTGCTTCTCAGTGTTTCAATGTGACATATTTTAATCCTGATTGACATCACTGCCATTTTGATTAACATATAACCCATGGATTATTGAGAAATATGTCACAACTTCTGAACATTTAGATGTCTTCTAGTTATCATTTTGTTATTGTTATCTAGTTTAGTGTCACAATCACAATTAAGTGAGATATTTTATCTAATTTAAATTCTTTGCAGTTTCCCAGTTGTTGTATTAGTTCCTCTCAGGGATTTGTTTTACAATTACCTATCTGCTGTTATAGAAGCAAATTATTCTTGTTTATATCTGAATTTTCTTCATTATTAGTGCAGTATTCATCTTTTGGGATGCTGACCTTTTTTCTTAGTGATTTAAAATTTTAACAGTTAAATTATTTAGCATTTTTTCTTTATAATTTGTTTCTTTTATTTCATGTTTCAGAATATTGCTTCTGATCTTGATTTCCTAAAGATATTCATAGACATCTATTTTTTTAAAGCTTTTATAATAGTGAAAGTAAACTAAATAAATAAGATACTGGGACAACATATATAAACCAAGACTGGGCTATGCAAAGTATATACTATTACCCTACATAAAATGATTTTCTTTTAACCTTTCCTTTACTTATTTATTCAGATCCATTAAAATCCTCTTAATAACAGTAGCCAGCACAATTATGTATCAGGATCTGTGTTAAATGATGTACAGTCACATTCTATTTAATCTCAAAGCAATTCTCTAAGGTACATGTTATCTTTTTTCTTTTGGTTTACAAGCAAGGAAAGTGTCACACCCAAAGTCAGAGATCTGATAAGCAGCAGAACCATGTTTGAATTTGGGCAGCTTTATTTCAAGACTTGATTAGTGTGAAATGCTAAATTCATTCACTAATGGTGCACAAATAGCTAGTAATTACTCGTTGCCTCAGGAATTTCTCTTGTTCTGCTTCTCTTGTTTTTCCTTTCATCTGGTTTCCCTGGCTTCCATTCCTTTGATTTTGACTTAGAGTCTAACTTTTTGCACAGGTTCTTTGGATTGACAGCTTAATTTTAATGATCTTTCTAGCTTTGATTTAGTACTAACTTTTTATTGCTACTGTGTTTGGCTGCCCCTCTGGCTTTCATTCCATTCAAGGTTCAGGGCTGAGTCTATTGCCTAACAGAGGATATTAAATAACAAGTAAGCTATGATTTTTGTAGGATTCTAGTAGCAACTCATAACAGTTCCAATACTTCCTCTAAACATTACTTATAATCATCTCCTTTGTCTCTGTCCTCTTCTTTTTCCCCTCTCTGTCTCTGTTTCTCTCTATGTCTTCCTTCCTTTCTTTTTTCTCTTTCATTTACCAGATAGCTATCAATAATGAACTGGTCTAGTTTAAGCATCAGACATATGCAGGTATGTAAAGTATATGTTTTTCCTGGTAGAGCCCATATTGCATCTGAGAAGACAAAAACTGCTGATAATAGTCACGTGACAATGGTTCAGAAAGAATTCTAGATGCATTGTGGGATATTGTCATAAAAGAGGTGTCACAGGAACTGGACCTCTAAAAAGTTTTTCACATAGGTGGGGAGAGATGCTTTAGAGCTAAGGGTTAAATGAGGATGGTAGATCTCTGTAAAGTATTTCCCTTTAAAATAGAATAAAAAGCCCAAGGTAAAGAGCTTTGATAATTCTGGAACAAGAGCAGTGGTCTCAAAAAACTGATGTTTGTGATGTTATAATCTTTCATTTGGGCCCCTACTTTCTTTATTCTCTCCCTCCTTTTCCTTTTCTCAAGTGGTTTTGGTAACCACATAGCTGTGACAATTTGCAAGTAACTCATTTATGAAGTACAGCATAGTCCATAGTCAAGTCTGAAACCCTAAAAAGCCACAAAATCTGCATGATCTGATAGCACCCAGGCCCAGGGCCCTTTGCATCTATATAAATCTTTTGCCATTGTAAAGTAACTCAGTGAGCCCCGGTTAAATATTTTCCTTTTCTTCACCCTAAGGGACTCTTTCCTGGTAAAACACTAAAGCAGTGATCGTGAGCCTGTGGCACGCCTGCTGCAGTTGGCTATTTGTTTCACTGAAAGCTCTAAAACATTCACCATCACAGCACTAAAGTCTTAATAAACTCACTTACTCAGTTACTAACATTTCTCTTACTTCATGTAATTTCTAGTCCAATTTATTTCTCTTTAGCACTCCAGGAATTTACAAGAATTTTAAAAATCCTCAACTTATCCATATTCTGTTCCAGATTTTTCTGCATGTGTTGGTTAACTCTTTGTTTCTAAATGCCAAGTAAAATGATTGTTTTTAAAATTAGACCACTTAAAAACACATTAATATGAAAAAGGTAAATAAAAATAGGAATGGATAATATTCTCCTTTACCAATTCATAAATGACAAAACTGTTTTTAAGATAAGAATTTAGCAATTTCAAATTCATATAAATATAATCAAATTAATCTAATATTCATAAAATTTAAAAAGATGAAGTAATATTACATAATTTTATTTATGAATGATTCAAAACACTTTGATTTCTCTGAAATATTGATATATAAATTAAAATGTTAAAACTTTAGTTTTCAAAAAAGAGGAATAAAATATTTCCTGTGTGAAATAAACATAGTAATGCTTCAATACCATTATTTGATGTTTAAATCAGGTCAAACACATCTATATTCTCAAAAAATTTTATGCTATAGCAATTCTGATGCATGATTATAGTGATTATCATAAATAAAAACATATGGAACACTGACAAAAACATCCAAAGAAATGTTATCTATGCTTATTAAATGATGGAACGCAACTTCATCCATCAACTAAGCAAATGTTTTTGTTGAAATATATTCATTAAATTTTTGCTGATGTTGGCCAGCTATTTTTACACAATGATTGGAAGATTTTATTGCCTTATATATATTTTAAAAATGAACTCACACCCTGAAATAATTTCATGGGAAAATTTGAGTTTAGGAAATGAAGCATATAAGTTGTTAAGGTACCACAACAAAGCTCAAAAACCAGGAAATATTCTCATTCATCATTTCCTTTAAATTAACTTTTCTGTTAGTGTATATTTGTAATATTTTGGGAAATTGGTACATGTATATAGCACATCTTGCTTTTTTTCAAGTATTTATTGACCATTTGTACTGCTGAAGTGTCTATTTAGTTCGTTTAGTCTTTTTTATATTTGCAATCAGCTGATTTGCACTGGTTCCTTCCATTTTACTGAAACATGCTCAGATATTTCCTAAAATTAGAGATGTCCTCTTTACTGTACCTAGGGTTATTAGTCTGGTTCTGTTTTTTTAAATGCATTTCTAGATTTCTTAAGCAGTTATCTGAATTAATTGCCTTTATGTCCTAACCACTCATTCACAACATCGTATATCTTGTTTCCCCACCTCTGTGATGAAATTGTTCTCCCAAAGGACAACACAAACTCATTGTTGTCAAAGCCAGTGGCTCTCTCTTATACAGTATCTGAGATTCTTTTCTATGGCTTCTGCATTTGATAAAACATTTTCTTGAAAATATTTTCTCTTTTAACTTCTGTGACCCTGACATTTCCTGGTGTTCTCCCACCTCTGTTTTACTTCTCAGTTTTCTTATCTGTTTCCTCTTCCATCTCTTGCCTTTTAAGCTCAAATATTTTCTGCATGATTATGTACACATTTTTCTCTGCCTCGGCATTCTAACTTTGAGTCATTTCATTCCCTTTCATAATTTCAATTATTAGAGAAGTTGTTGACTTTTTGAATCATAGGCTTCTTTGTGTAGCTGACCAAAGCAGTGAATTACTCCTGTCCAGTATTCACACGACAGTGTAGCAGCTAATATCGATTAAGCATTTACCAATTGAGTATTCATTCAGTCCTTACAATTGTCCCATGAGGTTGGTTAAGAAAACTTTCCAGTGATGCATATCTCCTGAATGGTTTGGGTGGATGCGTGTCCCACAAAGTCCATATATAAAGGCGGCCCCCACATCCTGATACTGGGAGGCACCACAGACTTGTCCAACTTGAAGCTTTATGGGAAGTGCTTAGGCCACTGGAGGTGTGGCCATAAGAGGGATAGGGGGGCTGTGGAGTTTGTGTGTGTGTCTGTTTGTCTCTCTCTCTCTCAATCTTTCTGTCTCTCTCCATGTCTCGCTCAGATTTCTGACTCAAGTTGTACTCACTCACTCCAAAATATGTTCCTGCCATTGCCATGCGCCACTCTTATCAAAGGACAAAACAATGCGTTGCTTGATGTTGGATTTGAACCTCCAAACTGTGAGATAA